CCCCGCGAGTCGCGCCGCGCGATAGGTCTCTCTTCCTCTCTTTCTCCCTCCTGCTTTTTTTTCCCCTCCCTCTCTTTCCCTCTTTCCCCATCCACTTCTCTTTCGCGCGTTTCGTGTTGCCCTTTCTTTCTTTCCCTCGCGATCGCATTTCTCCGCAATCCTTTCTTCCTTTACTCAAAGATCCGTCTGTCCTCTTCCGCGAGGGTAGGAAGGGAAGGGAGGGGGGCAGGCAGCGATCCGCTCTCCTCCACCGGAGGTGCAACGATCATTAGGGCGGGGAACGATCGGGATCGGGGCATAGCACCTGGCTCGATCATCGGCAACTCTTAATGCCCACACGCAATTCCCGAATGAGAACCCGGCCAAATACAATACAGAAGTGTGCGCGGCCGGATCTAATCGATCGATCGTACCGCGCCGCGAATAACGTACAAAACGATCGTTTGGGCGATAATTTCCAGCCGTCTAACCGTTTCGGCCACTCGGGAACATGACTACATGATGCGACTACACTCGCTTACAAACCGGGCACGGCGGACGTCCGTATTATTTTCGGTGCCGTATAAATCACGCGACACAAGAGTCGGACGGACGGACGGACGGACAGACGGTCGGACGGACGGTCGGCTCGGGAAGCCGCGAAGTCTTCGATCTCCGATCGTTCATTACGATTACGCCGCTCTAATTGCGGCCTACTCGTGTGTACATAATTTGCACGAGACACGCCGGCACTCGTAAATACTTCCACGATCGTCTTCGCGGAGACATCTCTCGAGGACAACGTCCCGGGAAGGAAGACGGCCCGTATAATTATCTGGAACCTTCTGGCAACAGCATTGAATTTAAACTACTTTGTTAATAATTACTTACGATCCGGGGGATACAAGGACGAGCTGCTCGAGCAAGCTGCTCGCGCACATCTCTCGGAGAGAAGTCTTTCGAAAATTTTTTTTCTCACAAAACGTCAATCTCCTTCTGATTATAATCGTATATATTATTCTCGTAATGAAAATTAGTGTTCTTTATCGAAATAGTTATAATCGACATAACGTAATCTACCGATTGATTTCCATTCGCCCCAGTAAGACGGATCATTTTCCACGGTTTGAAAATTGAACGAACGGTAGCGCGGCCGTTGTTGCAACATTATTAGCGATCTCTTGATCCCTTGGCCAACAGTCTGGTCCACGCCCTTCTTGTCGTTGCCCCGCCATTGTTTCGCCGCATAATGCAGGAGATATTACGTAAATATCTTACTCGCTACAGCGGGAGAAAACTCGTTTGGAGATACAGATGGAATATATTGCATGCGGAAGGGAGTGTGTTCGAATCATATCTTTCAATCTTTATCAACGGAAAGAGTAAATTGTTTCTTTTCCTTTTTGTGAATGCGTCGCGGTCCTTGGATTGGATAAATATATCGTTTCATCCACGGTTTCAACTCACGTTAGATCTCGGATCGTCGAAGAAAAAGATCTCAACTCGTACTCCTCGCGCCGATCGGCGCCTCGTCTTATTTCGCTGATCGCGCGGCACGCAAACAAATGCGCATTATGCGAGGTTTAAGCGCTCAGAAAGTGCGCTCGTGTTTTCGGTGTAACCTGAAGCTAAGCGGTTTAAGAGATCAACGCCGTATAAACCGGCCGTCTGAGAATCGTCTGGGGATCCCGCGTGCGTGAGAGGCGGCAGTGAAAAAGGGATAGGGCGAGAGACAAGTAGCAAGGCGAAAAAGAACGTCGTAGAGAGAGAAAGAGAGAAAGAGGGGGAGAGAGAGCGAGAGAGAGAGAGGAGGGG